GAAGATGTAACACAGTTAAGATGGCAATACCTGGGGCGCCTGGGTGGCTAACTCGTTAAGCGTCTGCCTTCGGCTCAGGTCATGATCCCAGGGTCCTGGGATAGAGCCGCGCATTGGGCTCCCTGCTCGGCAGGAAGCCTGCTTCTCCCTCTCCCACGCCCCCTGCTTGTGTTCCCCCTCTCACTGTGTCTCTCTCTGTCAAATAAATAAATCCCCGCAGAGCAGGAAGCCTGATGCGGGACTCGATCCCAGGACCCTGGGATCATGACCTAAGCTGAAGGCAGTCGCTTAACTGACTGAGCCACCCAGGCGCCCCTCCCATATGAATTTTAAATGAGTTCTTTGTAAAAGTTGAATAGCTGGTTTGGGAATTCATACAGAATTGCAAGGAACCCAGAATAGTCAAAACAAATTTGAAAAAGGAGAAAGTAGGATGATTCATGCTTCATGGTTTTAAAACTTACTACAAATCAACAGTAATCAAGACAGTGTAGAAGTACAAGGATAGATCAGTGGAATACATTTGAGAGTCTAGAAATGAACCATAAATAAACGGTCAACTGATTTTCAACAAGGGTGTCAAGACCACTCACTGGGGAAAGAATAGTCTTTTTAACAAATGGCATGAGAACAACTAGATATCCACATGCTAAAGAATACAGTTGGGCCCTTACTTCACACTGTATATAAAACCCTCAAATGGATCAATGACCTAAATATAAAAGTTAAAACTGTAAAACTCTTAGAAGAAAACAGGGATAAATCTTCATGACCTAGGATTTGGCAAAGGACTGTTAAATGTCAAAGAACAAGAAACAAAGGAAAAAATAGATATGTTGGACTTTGTCAAAATTTTGTGCTTCAATGAACATCATTAAGAAAGTAAAATGACAATGTACAGAATGGGAGAAAATATTTTCAAGTAATACATCTGATAAGGAACATAAACATATAAAGAACTCTCATAATTTATTAAAAAAACAAACAAACAGTAATCCAATTAAAAATGGGCAAAGGATATAAATAGACAGTTCTTCCAGGAAAGACATACAAATTGCTGATAAGCACAAGAAAAGATGGTCAATATCATTAGTCATCAGGGAAATGCAAGTCAAAACCACAATTAGGTACCTTTTCACATCCACTAGTATGGTCAGAATGAAGAAATCAGGTAATAAGAAATGTTGGTGAGGATGTGGAAAAACTGGAACTCTCATATATTGCAGGTGGAATATAGAAAGATACAGCTGCTTTGGAAAATGATTAAACGTAAAGTTACCAAGCTACCAAGCAATTTCACTTGTAAGTATAACCCAAGAGAAACCAAAACATATGTCCACACAAAAACTTGTACATGAATGCTTATAGGAGCATTATTCATAATAGCCCAAAGGTGGAAACAAGTCAAATGTCTATCAACTGACAAATGGATACATAAAATGTGACATATCCACACAATGAAATATTATTAGGTCATAAAGAGAAATGAAGTACTCATACGTTCTACGACATGGATGAACTTTGAAAACACTGTTAAGCAAAAGAAGCTAGTCACAAAAGACCACATATTATTCGAGTGCACAAATAGGAAATATCCAGAATAGGGATATTTATAGAAACAGAAAGTAAATTAGTGGTGGGAAGGGTGAATGAGGAGATAGGGAGATGACAGTTAAAAGGTAAGGGGTTTCATTTTGAGGTGATACAAATGTTCTAAAATTGACTATGGAGATGGTTGCATATCTGTGAGTGTACTAAAAACCAGAGTTGAATACTCTAAATGAGTGAATTGTATGGTATGTGAATTATATCTTAATAGAGGTGTTAAAAAAAAACTTAAATGCTTAGCTATCTTTCTCTGAAGTAATCTCTACACCCAATATGGGCTCGAACTCATGACCCTGAGATCAAGAGTCACACGTTCTACCAACTGAGCCAGCCAGGTGCCCCAAATGCTTAAACTATTTTTGAATACAGCTTATCTTTATCATATTTATTTATACCAAGGACTTTGCTATTTTGCAAATAGAAATGGATGTGTAAAGCTTTATGAACTCTTCCAATTACTCTAGTGATTTTCAATATACTAATGAGGTAGTTGGAAAACCTGAGAACATTAATAGCCATCTGGTCAACACTCTAAAATAAACCCATAATTCTCAGATGGATGTTCCTCTATAAACTTAGTTTTTTCCAATACCAAAGTCCTTCCTTAAACTCAAATTTTATAGTTAGAATAACAAATGCCCCACCCTAATACCTTCAGTAGAACTAAGTGTTATTTTACAAACCGATTTGAGTTGGCTATTTTCATCTTTCAGTTTCACAACATGCTTGATTTTTTGCTTTAGGTTTTGATGACCCAGTAATTTAGCATACGAATCTCTTAGTTTATTTAGTTGTTCCTGAGCTGCACCATGTTCATTCAACAAAGCCTGTTTCTCTGCTTCAAATGCATCCAGTTGTAGCTGAAAAAGATTTTTTTATAGACTTAGAAAAGTTAAATTTACTTGTCTCATATAAACTACAAAGGAAACTCAAGTATCAAAAAAAAAAAAAAAATGATGGACAAAAACAGATCATGCTGACATATCCTCAGGGCTCTCCATAAATTTCTGTGAGACTCTTTAAAAAAACTTTGTGTAGGGGCGCCTGGGTGGCTCAGTTGGTTAAGCGACTGCCTTCGGCTCAGGTCATGATCCTGGAGTCCCGGGATCGAGTCCCGCATCGGGCTC